GGGGACATCTGTAATAGTGTCAACAATAAAAAAAAAGAAAGACAGGACTGCCAACGTACTGGGAGCCTTTGGGTAAAAAAAGCAAGAGTACTAACCACCGTTTATGTATTCAGTTCCTGCCCAATGCCAGGCTCCGTGCTTCAAACTCTTGAATATTAATGGTTATAATCATCTTTCTTGAGCACCCGCTGTCTTCCTGCACTAAGTTAGGTACTTTAAAATAACAGCAACAATACAAATAATAATAATAATAATAATTACAGTTTATTGAGCACTTGATCTGCATCAAGCCTTGTTAAGGGATTTGTATGCATTAGCGCTCATCCTCACAACAGCCCCAGTGGAGGTAAACTTCATTGCCCCATTTTACACAGGAAACACGTTCAGAGAGGTGATGTGACTTGCCTAGGTTCACACAGCTAGAAACCTTCAGCTCTGCTATCCTAATCCAAGCGCAACTTTTTTGTGGGGGGAGGAGAGGAGGGAAATCTTTTTTTTTTTTTAAATATATTTTATTGATTTTTTACAGAGAGGAAGGGAGAGAGATAGAGAGTCAGAAACATCGATGAGAGAGAAACATCGATCAGCCGCCTCCTGCACATCCCCCACTGGGGATATGCCCGCAACCCAGGCACATGCCCTTGACCGGAATCGAACCTGGGACCTTTTCAGTCCGCAGGCCGACGCTCTATCCACTGAGCCAAACCGGTCTCGGCAGGAGGGAAATCTTAAAGGTAGGAAGAGATGGGCCAGGGTGGTGATAAGAGCCAGGGGCCTTGCTCCAGGGACAGCCTCGGGTGTTTGAGAAGTGGATGTAGATCCTCTATAAGTGGAGAGGGGGAAATAGAGGAAGACACTAGAACAAAGAGAATTGTTCTTCCTGGAAAGGTGTCACTCCTGGGGCAGTCTTTTGTCGGTGGCCCTGGACTTGGAGGTCTGGACCCCAAGGTTCTCGTCTCCATTCTGTGACCAACTTTCTGAGGACCTTGGGCAAATGAATATTCTCTCTGGACTTCAGGCTTCCTGCCTGTGAAATGCAGGAGTAAGCCAAAACAAAGGGAAGTGCATTCAGACTGGAAGGTACTTGGGGAGTCTGGTCTGGTCCCTCCTGGAAGCAGGGAATTTTCAGCATCCACACGATCTTTACTTAGCTGTTGCCTGGCCACTTTCCAGGACCTTCAGGCTGTGATATGGCACCTGACAATCCTCTAAACTCAAAATGGTGTGGGGCACCTCAATCCACCCTTCTTCCCAGTCCTTTCCTGCCTGTAGGGGGCGCTAAGGACTCATTCAGCCGACAAAGCCAACCTAAATTCTTAGTGAATTATCCAAAAGCACCCAGCTGGTCAGTTTTTGTATTTGATTTGTTTTTATTTAAGAGCGGTGAGTTTTTTGAAACCTGGTTTCTGTCCCCAGTATATAATCAATTAACCCGAATTATATGCATTGCCTAGTCCTCTCCACGGTGGCTAGAGCTAATTTCCAATTCCTTTGTTTTACGGATGAGAAAACAGGTTCTAAGAGCTGAAAAAAGAATTCTCTTTCAGTCATATAGCTACAAACTAGGGCTCCTGGGCAGTGCTCTTAAGAGATAGTTGGTTGTGATTCAGAGTCTGTTTGTTCTGCCTCCTGGTGCACAACTCCAGGGGACAGTTTCAATTGTAATTGTGTGGCTCCTCAGCTCAGCACCTGTCAGCGAGGAGGACCTCCCTCAGCATCTACCACAATGACTGCTTAATGAGTGATTGAATGGATGAATGTGTGAATGAGCCACCGAGGGGGAGTCCGCTTTGGCTTTATTAAACCTGAAGGAGTTGGGCTTTTTTTCCTGAAAGCTCCCCCAAGGCAGGAATTGTATTCTGAGATGGTAGGGGGGAGTGTGTTGAGAACAATGAGAAGAGTTTAGAAAATTACATATGGGTGATAAGTCATTATAGCAAATAATTTGGGATTATAAAGTTAATTCAGAAAGAATGAATACAAAACAGAAGAGACTTCCATTAGAGTTAAAATCTGAGAGAGGGTCTGAAGAGGAGGAAACCAAAAACAGTTCAAATGCAATGTAGACGTAGCTTCAGGACTGGAATGTGATTGAGGAATAATAAAACTTTGGTCAATCAGTGGCCTCAGTATGGCTGATGCAAGAGTATAGAGAGTATGGCAACAGGAAGTAGAGGTCCTTACTGAACCCAACCTACTAGACATAGGGGAGGGGAGGAATAAACTCAGCCAGAGTCACTGGGCCATGACCCACTGAACTGGAAGCTTTACTGGTTGGATTTCCAGAGCCCAGGACAGTGTCTGGTGCGTACTAGATAGTCAATAAATATTTACTGAATGAAAGAAAAAAGGAAGAATCCAGAACACCGACCAGCAGGTTTGCTCTGCATGGAGCCAGTTCAGTGATTTATATTTTCATTGATTCCTTTTGGCTCAGAATCCAGCTACCCTAACCACCTTCAGAAGACAACTTGGCTTTTCATGGAGGCTCTCCTATCAAAAGGCATGTCTGGCCCATCTGTTATAGGCCACTTGATCACTGTGTTTCTCACTCCCAATTAATTGGAATTCTGCTTTATGCATTAGTTCCTTGTGCTAGCCTGCTTCTTACATATACACTCAGCTTCTTCTCTCATTAGTGGTACAGTGGAGTTTCTGCTGTAGAGTCATTCCTGCCTGAATTTGAATCCTTACTCAACATTTTACCAAACTCTCAGACCATGGCCAACACACCGCTTAAACCTCAGTTTCCTCATTTGTCAAATGGGGGAATAATGCCTACCTCACCAGGTTGTAGTGAGAGTTACAGGAGATAACAGATGTACCCTGGACTGTTGTTGGAGTTCAGCAAAATGTAGTATCTGTGCCTCTACTGAGCTTTTCCTTCCTTAGAGACTGGGTCACAAAAGCTCATGCAATTTAGTATATCAGTATTGCCTTTTCTTTTCACAAAATCACTAACTTTGTAAGTGAAACCTTGAAAAAATTTAGTCCCTTGAAGATTCTAAAGGGTTATTCTACAGAGGAAAGTACTCATATTGACTCACTCAAAAATATTTACTGCGGAATCACTACATGATAGTGGGGGATACAGACACAACTGGGCACAGTTCCTGCTTTAAAGGAGCTTTGACAGCCCAGCCAGCCTGGCTCAGTGGTTGAGCATTGACCTATTAACCAGGAGGTTAGGGTTTAATTCCCGGTCAGGGCACATGCCCGGGTTGTGGGCTCCATCCCCAGTGGGGGGCATGCAGGAGGCAGCCAATTAATGATTCTCTCTCATCGCTAATGTTTCTATCTCTCTCCCTTTCTCTTCCTCTCTGAAATATATAAAAATACTAGAGGTCCAGTGCACGAGATTTGCAGTCCAGGAGCCCTCTCACAGTCCGAGAGCCCTTGGGGGATGTCCAACTGCCAGCTTAGGTTCCTGCCACTGCTGCTGGCACGCCAGCTGTGAGCCCGGCTTCTGTCTGAGCAGCACTCCCCCTGTGGGAGCACACTGACCAGCAGGGGGCAGCTCCTGTGTTGAGAGCCTGCCCCCTAGTGGTCAGTGTGCATCATAGCAACCACTTGTTCTGCGGTTTGGTCAATTTGCATATTATTAGCCTTTTATTATATAGGATATATTAAAAATAAATAAATCAATAAAGGAGCTCTGGCACAGCCTGGTACAGTCAAAAGAAGATATTATATGACCCTGATGTGAAGTTTTACCTTTCTAAGTAAGCTCAAGTTTCTTCCCTTTGCAAAAGTGGTCAATAACATATTCCATTGTTTGTTAGAGAGAAGCAGTAAAGTATGTAGACATAACAAGGCTGCATCATGTTGAAGACCATAAAGAGGTAGAAACAATGTGTTGAAGAGTGGGAGAGAGGACTTTGAGCTGAGCTGAAGAAGCAATGTTTTCTGTAGGAAGTGGCATTTCAAAGCCTTCATTCAGGCCACAAACATGAATGAAGACATTGAATGCTGGGTAGGAGGATTTCAGTAGGCAGAGATTTGCAGAGGGAACTTATGGAAGAAAGGCTTGAAGGCCAGAACATTGGGCTAAGTGGCATGTGGCAGAAGACAAAGATGTCAAGATGTGGACCCTACCTTCAAATAACTCATAATCAAAAGAGTTAGATAAGACCTGCACACAGAAAATTATAATACAAGGTAGAAAGTGATAGGTCTTATAAAGGAGACCTATAAAGTGCCTTGGGAGGTCAGCAGAGGGTGAGATTAATTTCCTTCTCCCCAGAAGTTGGAGGCAGGAGACCAAGTCATTAGGGTCATCTTTGGAATCATAAGCCGAGACTTGGAAGTTTCAGAGGGGACCTTGTGGGTCATTTAGTCCACCCTCACTCCAGCCATGATTCTCTATTCAGAGTTAACACTGGCTTTAAAATGGAAACGAAAAAAAGTGGAGCACCGAAGAAAAACTGTGAAGGAAGAGAATCTGTGGGAAGGGGACCGAAGATTAAATCAGCTTACAGGTGCTGAGCGGCTGGTGGAAGAGACTTCCTCCCAAAGGGAGAGTCGAAGGCCAGGAAAGGAATGAGATCAAGGACGGAGACTATATCTAGATAGATGAGGGATAAAAACAGACTAGGGAAACACCACGTTCCAGGGGGTGGAAGGATAAAGAGGAGTCAGAGAAGGAGTGGCCAGAGAGGTGAGAGAGATCCAGTGGACCGCCTTATCACAAAGTTTCTAGAAAGGGGTGGCAGGGATGGAAAACAGGACCCGAGACTCAAAGGAGCAGTCCGGGGACACCTGCAGCAATAGGGACTGAAGTTAGCCTGGGGGTTGCCAAGGACATTTCAAAGAATGAAGGCTTTCCCAGGGGCTCTACAAATAAGGTGGATGCTCGGTGTCTGATACATTTTAAGGGTGGAGCCCTCCCGGAGACCAGGGGAACAGGGGCGTGCCCAGATCTGGCTCTATAATTAGCACGACCTCTCTGAACCCCAACCCGTCCCTCCAGGAACTGTAAAGCTGACGAACGTACTTGGGAGGGACTTCACACCTGGGTCTCCGGCCCAGCCCGCTGAAGGCCCGTTTCATCACGCAGCTGTAATGACTCTCCAGGCTGTCACTCTCGTCCGGTGTTGTCAACAATCTGACTAAATCCTTTTGCAAAAGTTTGCAGCATTCGTGCGGGGCTGACTACAGCTCCCAGAGTTCCCGGGCACTTCCCGGCGTGGATTGGCCGAGCCGCTGGCTCCTGAGGAGGGTGTCGCCCCGCCTCCCTAGGAAACAGGCATCTGATTGGCTGCGGCGTGGGGCTTTTGTGTCCCGCCCTCCCCCGGGGACCGCAGCGGGCTGGAGGCGCTGCTGGTGTCAGAGCCCTGCGAAAGCTGGCAGTTCCGCGGCGGGGATGCCGAGCAGCGCGGTGTCCACCCGCAGCCCCTGCCACTGAGGACTTCAGAGGCGCCCCAGGCCGTGAAGACCCGCGCGCCGCGGCCAACCCCCGGCTTCCGAGTCCATTCGCCGCTCCAGAAGCCCGGCGCGAGGAGAGTCCGGCGAGGCAGCGGCCGTTCCTGGACTCTGGGCTTTGGGAGCGTCTGGAGCCCTGAGAGACACCCCGGGTTCTAGAACCTCCCCAGCGGCCCCCGGTCCGGCTTCCTGCGGGCGTCCGGCCACAAACCCCTCCGGTGCCCGGGTCGGCGGCCAGCCGCGCCTGGGTCCTGGCGCACACCATGATCGTTGCGGACTCTGAATGCCGCACGGAGCTGAAGGGCTACCTGCCGTTCTCCCGGGGCGACGGCGGCGGCGGCAGCAGCAGCCCCGGGGCCGGAGAGGTAAGCAGCGGCCGAGCCGCGCCACTTTTCCCTTGAACCCCGAGCCTCGTCCGAGCTCCGGGCTAGCCTGGGCTGAGCCGGTGCGCAGCCCCCTCCCTCCCCCCCATTTCCTCCACCCCCGCCTCGGGAAGGAGGAGTGGAGCGCGTAAACCTGGAGTGGGGTTGCATCAACTGGCAACCTCGACCCTCTTCGCCCCTCCCCTTCCCCCAGGGTTGTGGAGCCCTCCTGGCTCCTCGGACTCCTGGCCAATGAAAGCAGAGCCTCCTCGAGGCTGCCTGGGGTTTGGGCTCTGGTCGGGGGAGTCGTCAAGTCCGGGCAAATCTCCGCCGCAGCGGCCCGACCGCTCCTCCTCCCCGCCCCCCGCCGAAGATGCCCTCCTCCGGGCCGGGGCTGGCGGGCGGGCGGCTCTTTCTAGGTGGGATGCGTTCCCTATCCAGCCCCCCAGCGCGGGGAGCGGGGCCCCTGGGGCTGGCCAACGAAGGTTGACCTGGTCCCCCGCCCCACCTGCACCCCAATTTGGAAGGGGGCGCGGTTGCTTCCGGGCCTTGGCCGGCTACCGGGTACGCGGCCGGCGGCGGCGGCGGCCAAAGCTCCGGGGAGAAGGCGAAAACCCTGACCGTAGCTCCCAAATCAAGCGCGGATTAGGCTGTGCCCGACTAGGTGGTCTGAGGTCTCAAAAGTTTGTTTCGCTGGGACTCCCTTTGCAGTGAGGCTAGGAATAAGGCTGGGCCTAATCTGACCATTCGCCTCCCCCATGCCCTCTGCCCCCCTCCCCACCCCCCCCACCCCCCACCGATAATGGATACCTTATAAAGCACCTATTAGATTCCAGGCTCAGGTTTTGCCTTTTCTCTGAGTCCTCCGGACTAAACTAGCAAAATATGAGCTATACTGTAGTCCCATTTTACAGGAGGGGAAAATTGAGGTCCAGGAGGGAGTATGGAGTCGCTTTCTTCTCTAACACCACAGAGTAGCTCTTTTTTTGGCCTGGGTGTCTCTAGGATTTCCGAATGTGCTTGGCACTACAGGGAGTTTTATTTGTTTCTTTAGTTTCCTGGCCTGGAGAGGGGCACAAGTGTATTACTGCGGTTGGGAGACAGACAATTGCTAGTACTAAATGGTGATCCTGGGAAAATCGCTGGGCTTCTCTGAGCAGCATGGTTTCTGGGGAGGTCCTACCTCCACCAGTGGATGGTTTGTGTCCTGCGTTTTCTGTTACTCTGTTTAGCCTTCCCCACCATGGTTTAGGAGTCACACGTGGAGGAATAAAACCACTCTCAGCTGTGTGACTTTGACCAAGACACTCCACTCTGTTACCTTCTTTGTGAAAAAATGGAAATACAGCCTGGCCGGCATGGCTCAGTGGTTGAGCATCGACCTATGAACCAGGAGGTCACAGTTCGATTCCCGGTCAGGGCACACGCCTGGGTTTCGGGCTCGATCCCCAGTGTGGCGTGTACAGGAGGCAGCCTATCAATGATTCTCTCTCATCACTGGTGTTTCTGTCTCTCTCTCTCTCCCTTTCCCTTCCTCTCTGAAATAAATAAAAATGTATTTTTTTAAAAATGGAAATACAGTAAGTCTTCATTTAACATGGTCTATAGGTTCTGTGACTTTATGCAAAACGATGCATAAGGAAACCAACCTTACCATAGGCTAATTGATATAAACAATGTTGAATGAAACATTGAATGTTATTTAAGAACCTGGTGTAATATATATATATATTTTTTAAGATTTTTAATTGATTTTTTTAGAGAGAGAAACATCAATGGTTGCCTTCCATATGTGCCCTGACAGAATCAAACCCACCACCCAGGTATGTGCCCTGACTTGGGAATCAACCGGCAACCTTTCAGTGCACAGGATCATGCTCAACCAACTGAGCCACCCCAGTCAGGGCTGTAATATTTATTAAGAGCGCCTAGCCTGGCCGGAGTGGCTCAGTTGAACACATACCTGGGTGGCGTGTTCGATCTCAGGTCAGAGCATGTATGGAAGGCAACTGATCCATTTTTCTCTTCCTCTCCCTCTTTGTGAGCATATCCTCAGGTGAGGCTTAGAAATAATAATAATAAAAATAAGAGCACCTGGGCAGAGCTCTGAGTTCATGTACTAGCCCTCCCACTCACTTGCTGTGTGAACTTGGCCAAGTAATCACTTCTCAGATCTGCATCTTCCTCCCATGCAGATTTGATAGTATCTCGGAGGGATTGTTGGGGAAATTGACTGAGATGACAAAGGCCAAAGCACAATACCTGGAACACAGTAACCTTGTCAAAAATGCTAGCTCCTGTAGAATGTGGCCAGCAAACATTTATATCTCTCTTCCCCAGGGTGTCTCACAGGGTGTGTTTGAGGGTGTCCCTCCTGCCTGAGGTGAGGGTTGGTCCATCCCTCTTCGGGACAATGCCTGGGAAGTGGTCTGGGCAAGCTGTGAGGGAGTGAGTGGCCTTTAGATGGAAGCCACAGGTCTGAGAGGGGAACGTGGGTGGTGCCTGAACCCTCTCTACATATTTTCTCTTAAAGAGGACCTTGGGAAGATATCTTCCTTAGAAGACAGCAAGGTGCTGAACTTACAAAGCCTGGTAGCCCGAGGTCCAGGGGAAACCCACATGTATGGTCCCCTCAACCACCATCACTTCACACACCCTTTCAAGGGGTTTATGCCGGTAGACACTTCTCTCCAGTATTGGTAGCATGTGTTCAGAGCCCTGTTAGGCTCAAGAATCACTTCCTCAAACCTCATTTCCTCAGGGAAGCCTTTCCTCCCCGACAGATAAGGCCCCTCTGCATACTCTCTCCCAGTCCCCCTTCTTGTAGGAGCTTTTTATCCCAATTACAGTGTGACAGTTGTATAACCAGGCATTTCTTGTCTGTTCCCCTTGCTGGGCTAGAAACACTATAGGTCACATCACCAGCACTGTTCTTAGCACCTAGTAAGTGCGTGTAACTATTTGCCCCTCTTGGCTTAGCTGACCCTGGTGAACCGCACAGGCTTTGAAGTTCGATCTGAGCTGTGCTAGTCTGGAACAGGACTCAGAAAGAGCTTCAGTGAGCTGTCGCTGAAGAAGGGATAATAGGACCTGTTTCCCTGCACATGGTTGGGAGAAATCAGCCAGGTCAGATGTGTAAGGCACTTAGCCTGGTGCCCCGCCCATGGTAAGTTTGAGGCACCAGGCACACTCCCCTCCCCCAAGGCTGGTCAGAGGGTGCTTGCGCTATGTATCCCTCTCAGGTGTAAACCCAGGCATGTGTCTGAGTTCAGCAGACCACAGCTGCTCACGGGGTCGGGGTGGGGTGGGGTGGGGTGGAGTAGGCTCTGCCCTTCCCAGCTGGCAGAGTGACTTCGCAGGTGTCTGTAGCTAAGTCCTGGGGGTTGCAAGCTGCGGCTAGGATACCAGGAATGAAGGCTGGGGCTACTCCAAGAGGCTGATATGGGTGGTGGACAGAACCCCTGGAAGCCAGACTGAGCTGAGAGTAAATCTCAGATTGGCCACTTGTGGAACCTTAATCTTTCCTCAAGTGCAAAATAGAGACCCCACCCCCACACCAGAACTGATGAAGATTAGATGGAAACTGTATACAAGTGCCTAAGCTAATATAAGAACTCACATTTAGCAAGCACTTAAATTAGGAGCCAGGCACTGAGCTTGGAGGTGATTATCCTCTTTTCACAACTTGCCTGAAACCCTCCCTGTTGAGTGGCCACCCAGAGGGCTGACTGATTAGTGTTCTTGCTACCCTGAGGGACCCCCTCAGTTGGCACTATAGGAATAGTAACCGTTGATCTTCTCTCTGCCCATACTAGCTGTGTTACTTTGGTAGGTCACCTGCCCCTTCTGGTTTCCTTTCTTTAATCTGTAAATCGGGGGGAGGGGGGGTTTGCCTTTATCATGTGTGCTGAAACTGCAGTCTAATATGGTAGCCCTTAGCCACATGTGGCTATTTAAATTTTGATAATTGTTTTAAAAATTAAAATTCAGTTTTTAGTTGCACTAGTGACATTTCAAATGCTCAGCCCCCATGGCTAGGGGCTACCACCTTTGACATGCAGATAGACTATTCCATCATTGCAGAAAGTTCTGTTGGACTGCTCTGTGCTAGACATTGGGGTTAAGAACAGGGAACTAGTTCCAGTGTGCTCCCTCAAGGTAAGAAACGATGCAGTATGACAGGTGCTGTGCTTGGGGGTACTGGATTTCTGGGGATGTGGGCAGGGAGAAGGAGCTCCTGGATCCTGGTGAACCCCAGATGCAAAGTCTTGGGGCTGTTGAGACCTTGAAAAGTTTAGAGAATGGGAATAGTGTCTGCTGTTGCAGAAACCTGGTTTGGATCCCAACTTCGCTACCTCCTTGGCTGAGTGACTAAAAATGACTATCTCTCTGAGCCTCACTCCTCAGCTGTAAAATAGGCACCCTAGTAGCAGTAGTACCTGCCTTAAAGTGCATGTGAAATAAATGCTTAGCCAATGGTAATCACGGTTGTTATCTACCATTATTATTATTGACTTCCTGTCTCAGGGAATAGGGGAGAGCTGATTTGGAGGCATCATCTCTTGGCGTCTCCTGCCCTGTCTGCTTTCTCTGAAGTTCTGGGTGTCAAGGTCAGAGAAGCATTCCTAGCATCAGAGCTCCGGGTTAGAATCTACTTGGTCTTGCCTTCAAAGCTTTGCAATTTCTATTTTCTTTGACTCTCTTAAGGCCCAGAGAGTTTATGTTACTTTCTCAGAGGCACACAGCAAGTTAGTGGCAGAATTATTCACACGGGGACTTCCAGGTCCCATTGTTCTTTCCTTTGTCCTCTTTCAGAGCCCCAGAGCTCTGCCTCCTTCGGGGGGTTTTGGCCATCTGAGAAGGGAGGTTCAGTTATAAATCAATTTCTATTGATTTTTAGAGAGAGGGAAAGACAGAGAGAAACATTGATGTGAAAGAAACACATCTATTGGTTGCCTCCTGCATGCGCCAGGCCTGGGTCTGGGCCCGAAAGGAGCCTGCAACCAAGGTATGTGCCCTTGACCAGAATCAAACCCGGGACCCTTTGGCTCACAGGCTGATACTCTATCCACTGAGCCAAACTGGCTAGAGCGCACTGGTATTTTTTAAAAGCTTTTAAAGGGATTCTAAAGTCCTGCTTGGGTTGAGATGCCATTGTTTGAAAAAACAAGGAGGTTAATGATAGCTGACTTCTATTAAGTGCTTACTGTGATAGAGGTACTGAGGTAAAGGAATTATCTCATTAAATCCTTATGACTACCCAGTAAAAGTAGGTACTATTAGCCCCATTATTTGTTGAGGAAACCGAGGCTCACATAGGTAGATGGTGGAGATGTCATTTGAGCCTAGGCAGTTGTCAGAGCCCCTATCTTTTACTGTACTCCATTATCATCATCCTCATCATCAGGGCTGACTTACTACGTAAGACCCACAGGTTCCTTTCCTTGACAGCTCATGGGGCAGATTTTAGAGTGAAATGGGACTCCTAAGGCTGTTCCCTGTACCTTGCTAGCACTCTAGTGGGTCCTCTATCCCCCCAACCCCCAAATCCCAGTTCCACCCTGCCCTTCCCTACCCCACCTGGCTGTGGTTTCCTCTCTGTCCTCAAATCCCCTGAGGGGGAGGCCCTTTTTGTGGAGTCAGCAATTCTTATCTCCCACACAGAGCTGTTAGGCTTTTTCTCTTAGGTGAGGGAGGAGGGAAAGCTGAAACAGGAGTGCTTGGGGCTTCTGCTGGTTTCTATGCTAGACTTGGACCCGCCTGGCCTGGTAGCTCCCAGAAGTGTGGGCTGAAAGGGACCTGAGTAATCAGCCCAACTATCTTTTTTTGTCCCAGCTTAAGGCCCAGAGAGTTTAAGTTACTTTCTCAGAGGCACACAGCAAGTTAGTGGCAGAATTATTCACATCGGAGACTTCCAGGTCCCATTGTTCTTTCCTTTGTCCTCTTTCAGAGCCCCAGAGCTCTGCCTCCTGGGGGGGGGGGGGGGGGGGTTTGGCCATCTGAGAAGGGAGGTTCAGTTGTAATATTTAGTTCTGGACAGGTAGGTCCATTGGTAATGAGTCTGGATTTTAATGAGATGGGGAGAGTTATTTCTGTCCAGTGAAGGTATAACTGCTTCAGGAAAACTCTCTCTTTTTTTTTTTAATCCTCACTCGATATTTTTCCATTGATTTTTAGAGAGAGTGAAAGGGAGGGGGAGAGAGAGAGAGAGAAACTATTGATGTGAGAGACACATCAGTTGGTTGCCTCCCACACGTACCCCGACCAGGGCTGGGGTTTTAGCCTGCATGTAACCGAGGTACATGCCCTTGATGGGAATCATACCCAGGACCCTTCAGTCTGCAGGTCAATGCTCTATCCACTGAGCTAAACCGAATAGGACGGGCTGAACTCTTTCTAAGGCCAGTGCTGAGAGCCCCCCTTGCAGTTATTAAAACAAATGAATAAGTAAAACATCCTCTGAACCTCACCTCTAGGACTAGGAGCAGATTGAGTGAGCACATCATTGGTGGTTTCCAAGGAAGCTCCAATACATGCATGTCAGAGCACTGCTGCTGTCAGCCATGCATGCCCTGTCCTGATTCTCTTGAAGCCTCTGTGCTTTCCTTGTGTTCTTAATTCATAGGCTAGTGTGAATGATGACCTGGCCCCGCTCTCCACAAAATGTGATCTGGTAGTAGGGAGGCCTAATTCAGACAAGTAGAAGACAATGTTTTCAGAAGCAAAAGCACTGGGAATTGTGGGATCACAGATGAGGGTCTGAAAGAAGTTTTCCAGGCCCTGGAAGACTGTAAAAGTTAGCTCTGCAAAAGGAATGACTAGTGGGAGAACAGTGGGCCTGAGTCACTAATTTATCTCAAAGGCTAAGGGAGGTGGAGGCAGAGTTTTAAGCCAGTTGATCAGATTTACACATAAAGTTTACTCTGGCTGTAGAAAGGTTGCCCTCTTTAGAAACCACTAAGGTCACGTACTCACTATATCTGCTCCTACTCCTAGAGTTGGTGCTCAGGGGGCATATTTTATTTATTTTTGTTAATTTGGTAGAGGAATGGGTAGGATAGGGCAGGGAGACCATTGGTGAGGCTGTGGTTGGTAGTCCAGACAAGAGATGGTAGTGGTCTGTGAGGTGGTGATGGTGGGAGGGATGAAGAAATGACAATTGGAGAGAGACTGCAGCTGCATCATAGGGATCTAGGGCACTTGGTAACCTGGCTTCAGGATGTAAATGAGGGGGTTCTTGTATGGATTCTCCAGGGCTGCCAAGCAGGTGGTCTCCTGGAGATGTGCAGTATGGTGGCTGTGTATTTCCCTTTCCCAAGCCCTCCCTACTCAGTACTGGGGCTCCCGACTCCCTGCCCAGTTTCTGAGGAGCTAAGCCTGTGGGGCAAGCCCTCTCTCTTGTTTGTTCTCTCTCCACCCACCAAACAGGTGTATATATTTCCCAAATGACTCCTCTATGCAGGTTGCACCAGAAAGGAGGTTTTCCAAGTTCAATGTGGCCCCTTGGGTAGGAGGAGAAGACTAGAGAGAGAACGTTCCTTTTAGTCCTCCCTTTTACCTCCAACTAACCGTGATGTGTTTCCTTCTAGGAGCAGAGGATGAGGTGGGCTCGGGGAGGCCCTCGAGGACCCAGCGCCTTCATCCCAGTGGATGAGGTAAGCTTGGAAGGGGTTCGTAATTGTTGGTCGCTGGGAAGAAGGGACATAGAACACTGGGTTGGTGAGGAGGGTCTTTTCCTGTCTCTTGAAATAGCAGTTTTGAAACTATCCCTTCAGGTTCCTGACTCATTTAATGTACAGAACAGCTCTAGGAAGCAGGCAAATTCACCCCATTTTGCTGGGAAGAAACAGGCTCAAAGAGATAAAGTGGTAATAACACAGCTAGGTAACGAACAAACTTTTGATCCCCAGAACAAGGCCTGCTTTTCCTCAAGAAGATAGACCATCTGTGTTTATCTTCTCACTCTTGACTGTGCATATATTAAAGTTTTATTTTACTTCATAAGTATATGTTCATTATAAACATTTCCCCAATGTTTCAGAATCTCCTTCTCCCCTGGGAAGTAATCAGTGTTGCCTAACCATTTGCCATTGTTTTCTGGCGGGTTTTGTTTTTGTTTTTTTCATGCAGAACCAAGGTCATAGTTTACAGCATGTTTTTGGGGGGAGTTTATTGTTTTGTTCTGTTTTCTCACTTAATATAACAGAGACTCCTTTCATTTACTGAGTCAGATCATTCATCATTGTTTTTAATGTTTTTAACAGATAGCTATTGGATGATTAATCTGTGTCAGGTACTGTCCCGGGTGCTGGGGATACCACAGATAACAAGACAGACAAAAGTCCTTGCTATCATGGAACTGACATTCTAGTGTGGAGTTGGTGTATGGGGGTGCCTTCAAAGCACATGCACAGAACATTTTTTAAATAATAGTTTTCTTCTTTTTCTTTGGAAACAACTGTTTGTTTCCTTGTCCTCTTTTCTCTCCTAAACGTGTAGGCCAAGTAGTTAATGAACTGTTAACAAATGTCTTAGCCCCCAGTTCCCTCCACCCTTTGTAAATGGAAAGTAAACAACCACTAGCTGGTTATTCATGTCTGCAGCCCAGAATTTGAAGCTCAAGTGTTGTTCTTGTATTTTATATTTTCATTTAGAAATAACCACTCCTGCCCTAGCCAGCTTGGCTTAATGGATAGAGTGTCAGCCTGCAGACTGAGGGGTCCCGGGTCCAATTCTGGTCAAGGGCAAATGCCTGGGTTGTGGGCTTGATCCCCACTGAGGGGTGTGCGGGAGGCAGCTGACCAATGATTCTCATCATTGATGTTTCTATCTCTCTCTCCCTCTCCATTCCTCTCTGAAATCAATAAACATATTTTTTAGAAAAAGAAAGAACCACTCCTCTTTTATAATAAAGAAAAAAACTAGGCTTTGGGGTTAATCTGGATTTGAATCCTGGTTTTGTCTTTTACTAGATCTGTAACCTTGAGCAAGGAATGAAACCTCTCTGGGCCTTGATTTCTTCATCTGTCAATGGGGGGAAAGTAGTATTTACCTCACAAGATAATTGGGAAAATTCAATGAGATAATGTTAGGGATGCTCTAAACTCAGCCGTGGCATGGAGATAGCACTTGGGAAGTGTGAACTATTTTGCAACCACTTCCCATGGCTGTACGGTTTTGCACTGTTAAAACAGAAGCTCCATGAAGGCCGGAGAAAACTGTATTTTCATCTCTGTGCCTGAGTTTTTCTATCTAAAAATAGAGAATAGAATTATCTCATACTTGTAAGAATTAAATGAGTAAATACATATAAAGTGCTCAAACAGTGCTTGGCACATTGTAAGCATTATAAAAGTATTGGTTATTATATAAGGTATCTGGTAAGTATTTGGTCACTTAATGAAATATCTTTACTCTCATATTCTGTTTTGGGACGTGGTTGTTTTCAGTTTCTTGCTATTATAATTCCACTGTAATGAATGTGTTGGTCTCTTTGGGGGGAAGGACGGGAGGGGAACCCATCCTCTCCTCACCTTTGCTTGGCAGGTCCTACGGGAGGGAGCTGAGAGCCTCGAGCAGAACCTGGGGCTGGAGGCACTGATGTCCTGTGGGCGTGTGGACAACCTGGCAGTGGTGATGGGCCTGCACCCCGACTACCTTAGCAGATTCTGGCGCCTGCACTACCTACTGCTGCACACAGATGGGCCCCTGGCCAGCTCCTGGCGCCACTACATTGCCATCATGGTGAGCCTGTCTGACCCTGACTCTCTTAGGCAGGGGTCCTCAAACTACGGCCCGCAGGCCACATGCAAATACAAATATTGTATTTGTTCCCGTTTTGTTTTTTTACTTCAAAATAAGATATGTGCAGTGTGCATAGGAATTTGTTCATAGTTTTTTTTTTTAAACTATAGTCCAGCCCTCCAATGGTCTGAGGGACAGTGAACTGGCCCCCTGTTTAAAAAGTTTGAGGACCCCTGCTCTTAGGGGTGGCCACATGGCGGGGGGGTTCAGTCTGCAAATCTCTTTGCTGGGGACTTTCTGAACTGATTCCATAGATGAGGAGGAGGAGAGGAAAGCCCTGGCTTTATTTGACTATAGAATTTTAGAAAAGAGGCATCTTTAGTGCCTGCTCTACAGCTTGGGAAACTGAGGCATAAAGGAGTAAATGACCTGCCCAAGGTCACAACAAGCCAGTGGCAAATTTAAAATCTAAATTTCCTGCCTCTCAGGCAACAGTGAGGTCTATGCTGTCACCTTCCATGGGCTACTCACCCTGAGGAGGGCACAGAAAGAATAGCATGACCTAAGCTCACGCTACTGTATGTGCTCTTACCTCCATAGGCTGCTGCCCGCCACCAGTGTTCCTACCTGGTGGGCTCCCACATGGCCGAGTTTCTGCAGACTGGCGGTGACCCTGACTGGCTGCTTGGCCTCCACCGTGCCCCTAAGAAGCTGCGTAAGCTTAATGAGATCAACAAGTTGCTGGCACATCGCCCATGGCTCATCACCAAGGAGCATATCCAGGTATAGTGGGTAGAGAGGCAGGTCCCCCAGGCGGCACAGGGGCCGGGCTGGGGTATGGCCGCTAGCCCAGGGGCAGGCACTGAGCAAGTCTGGCTTTCTTTCCTCTCCAGGCCTTGCTGAAGACGGGTGAGCATAGCTGGTCCCTGGCTGAGCTCATCCAGGCCCTGGTCCTGCTCACCCACTGTCACTCACTGGCCTCCTTCGTGTTTGGCTGTGGCATCCTCCCTGAGGGGGACCCTGAGGGCAGCCCTGTACCCCAGGCACCTTCACCCCCCAGCGAGCAAAGCAGCCCCCCCAGCAGAGACTCATTGAACAATTCTGGGGTAAGTCACTGGCCCGGGTTTGGGTGGGAGAGGAAGCTGGCATGGCCTGTCATCCCTGGACAGAAGCCATTGCCTCACTACCTCACAGTGATAAGCCTTAGAAAAGTTATCTGACTTTGAAGTTCCATTTCGTCATCTATAAAATGGGGATAAATACCACTACTTCATAATGAGTTGTGAGGACTAAATGGAATAACCATGTGACTGGCCCCTCAACATGTAGCTCCATAGACTAAAAGTCTCCTGGGTTTTACCACTTTCAAAATACAAAGTCTGCTTCTTATTTTGTAAAGTGGCCTTGCTTGTTTTAATACGAAAATACAGGTATTTTAAAAGTCCCTTACCTGTGAGGGTAGTTGATGCTCAGAGAAGACATGTCTGTTCTGTAGTTTTGTGTTTTTTAAATTATTGCTTGATTTGAGATAGAGAGAGAAACATTGATTTGTTGTTTCACTTATTTATGCATTCATTGGTTGATTCTTGTATGTACCCTGACCAGGGGTCAAACCCACAACCTTGGTGTATCAGCATGACGCTCTAACCAAATGAGCTACCTGGGCCAGGGCTGATTCTGTAGCTTCTTAAACTTCACTTGGGGAAGCATAGACCAAGAGCTGCCCATTCAGAAAGGCCTGGCATGTGGGAAAGATGTGTGGAATTTCTTGGGGTGGCCGAGAGAGGAGTAGATGGTCATCTTTGGGTCCCCCCTGCAGGGCTTCGAGGCTGCCCGAGACGTGGAGGCTTTGATGGAACGCATGAGGCAGCTGCAGGAGAACCTATTGCGGGATGAGGGAGCGTCTCAGGAAGAGATGGAGAGCCGCTTTGAGCTGGAGAAGTCGGAGAGCTTGCTGGTGACCCCCTCGGGTATGGGATCACAGGCGTCCAGGTTCCAGGGCCTGCCCCCCTCTTCTGCCATCTCTGTTGAGGAGTAGGCACCTCTATGTACTGCATCTCTTGTATTTTGGGGTCAGACCTGAGTTTGAATCTGGCCTGTGTTAGCCTTTCTGTCAGAGTGACCACTAATAAATCACTTCCTGCCTCGGGGCCTGTCTCCTCATGCATAAAGGATTGATGTGTAGGGTAAATGGAACAAGAAAAGCAAAGCTCTTTACACAGAGCCCGACCCAGGATGAGTGGCTCCATAAATAACTCCTACTGCTATGACTGTTATTATTACTGGGAGCCTCAACCCTGGGCCTGATTCGCCTCCTCCCTCGGGAATCCTGGTTCCACTCGCTGTAGGGAGGGGCTTTCTCTGGCCTTACACTCTGCGTTGCCTGGCCCACATTGAGGATTACTCAGGAGTGAAGATCTCTGTGCTCTATGCCTTGGCCTCACTGTGATCTCCTTCTGATATTCTCAGCTGACATTCTGGAGTCCTCTCCACACCCAGACATGCTGTGCTTTGTAGAAGACCCCACTTTCGGATATGAGGACTTCACCCGGCGAGGGACGCAGGCGCCCCCTACCTTCCGTGCCCAGGTGGGCTTTCCCCACTGAACTTGGCATTGCTCCTGATTTACAATCAAAGGGTGGATGATATGAGTGATTAGAGTTGGGTACCTTCTCTCCCTCAAGATTCCTTGAGGGAAGTGGGAGACCCTGGATCATGAAGGGACCCATCTGTGCCCTAAGTGCGTTCCTCTTGGCTTCTCAGGCCCAGACTAAGCAGTAGATTAGATTTGTGGGGTGGGGAGGTGTGCTCTAGAGGATGGGGTCTCTCTGCCCAGCCTTGAGCCATTTATTGATCCCTTCCCACGTTTCTCAGGATTATACCTGGGAAGACCATGGCTACTCCCTGATCCAGAGGCTTTACCCGGAGGGTGGGCAGCTGCTCGATGAGAAGTTCCAGGCAGCCTACAGCCTCACCTACAACACCATGGCCATGCACAGCGGAGTGGACACCTCCATGCTCCGCAGGGCCATCTGGAACTACATCCACTGCGTCTTTGGCATCAGGTAAGCACAGGTCTCCTCATCCAGGATGTGTGTGCACTGCAAGTCCTCAGTCTGCACTTACAGTGGTTTCCTTTTTTGTTTTTTTCTTTTCCTTTCTTCCTGCCTATGCTATTTTTCAAAGCAAATTTTTTTCTTTGCTGATTACAAAAGATAATAAATATGCTTACTGTTTGAACCTCATAAATGAAACACTTTAATCCCACTCCATAGAGATAGCTATCCTATATAATAAAGAGGGAATATGCAAATTGGCTGTCACTCTGCCACAAAGATGGCTGTGCCCATAGCAGAGGTGGGGTTTCCATAACACAAGATAGCTGCACCCACAGCTGAAGCTGAGCTCCCGTAATGAGCCTTAACGAGCAATCAGCAGAGACCTGAGGCTGCGTACCCCCCCCCGCCCCCCCCCGGGGGGGCTTGACAGGGGACCTCAGGCCACGCCCCCCACCTTGGTGCCAGGCTGGGGAACTTCAGGCTCCGCCCCCCCACCTGGCAGGGCTTGACAGGGGACCTCAGGCCACACCCCCCCACCCAGTGGGGCTTGACTGGGGACCTCAAGGCGTGCCCCTGCCCAGCGGGGCTTGACAAGGGTGGGACTGGCTGGGTCTGGATCTAGCCCAATGGGGTGGGGGTGGGGGGCAGCCAGGTCTGGGTCTCTGCGATTTTGAGGCACATGTGGGTGGGCGGGGACAACTCTGGGTCCTGTGGTGCGCCTCAGACTCTGACAGGAGGAAGATTTTCATATACATTTTACTAATTTTCTTTCATCTCTGACACTTCTATTATAGAGAAAGGGCAAATGCAATATTAAAATATTTCCTCTAATTAATCCCCCGTTTTTATATATTTTTATTGATTTTAGAGAGGAAGGGAGAGGGATAGAGATAGAAACATCAATGATGAGAGAGAATCATTGATCGGCTGCCTCCTGCATACCCCCCACTGGGGATCGAGCCCACAACTCAGGCATGTGCCCCTGGCCAGAATCAAACCTGGGACCCTTCAGTCCTCAGGCCGATGCTCTATCCACTGAGCCAGACTGGCTAGGGCTTAATCCCCTTTTAATGTGCACGAATTTCGTGCACCAGGCCGTGTGTGTGTGTGTGTGTGTGTGTGTGTGTGTGTGTGTAATCAGAGAGAGAGAGATAAATACCAATGAGGAGAGAGAATCATTGATTGGCTGCCTCCTGCATGTCTCACACTGACCAGGAATCAAACCGTGACCTCCTGGGTCATAGGTTGATGCTCATCACTGATCCACACAGGCTGGGCTGTGACATTTTTCTATATTGCTTCTTTTCTTTCTTATGTAGTTGCTTTTGTATAGTTGAAATTATAATGGTTATTTCATTTTAAAAATATATATATACTTGATGTTTGTAAAGAGATACAGCCTGATTTTTAGTAAATTTAGAAAACCGATAACAAAAAGAAGAAAATAAAAACTACCCATGATAACCATCCTTTCTTCTTGTCAAGTATTTCCTTCCTGTTTTCCATGCACAAATAACCAAAACATACGTACAATTTTATGAAAACAGTATTTTCTTGTGTGTATCACTATTTTACTTACACAAACATGAGCATATTTTAGTGAACCATGATTCTTTTCTTGCTTTTCTCATTTAACAGTTTAGTTCAAGCATCAAAAAAATCCCCCAATTTTTAAAAGGGTATAAATGTAAATTTCTGTGTATTCCTAACTGTTAATCATATTTCACTGGGTGGGTTGAGTTGTACTTAATTGGCTGCCATCCCACTCGTCATTGTTAGGTTTCTAACTCAGAGGAGACCAAGGATAGATAGGCACAGGCTAGTTCCTGCCCAGCTCTCAGGTCCAGGATCCTCAATTCTCCAACACAGTCCTTGATCTGATACCTTTTTTAAAAATATATTTTATTGATTTTTTACAGAGAGAAAGGGAGAGAGATAGAGAGTTAGAAACATCGATGAGAGAGAAACATCGATCAGCTGCCTCCTGCACATCTCCCACTGGGGATATGCCCGCAACCCAGGTACATGCCCTTGACCGGAATCGAACCTGGGACCCTTCAGTCCGCAGGCCGACGCTCTATCCACTGAGCCAAACCGGTTTTGGCTTGATCTGATACCTTTATCTACTGAATCTGTCTTCCAGTTTTTAACCAATCTTCCCCATCCACACTGATTTGAGATGACTCACTGGCTCATAGGACTGGCGAATGATAAAGTAGCTTCTAGACTGGTCACCAACTTGCTCTTTGACTTGAACAATTTAATTGTCTTCTCCAGGCCTTAGTTTGCCCATCTCTAAAATGAGTGCCATCTCCTTTTTTGCCATTTCCACCTTCCTTCTCCAGGGTAAATACTCGCACTCACCTCCTGTCCCATCTTCCATGGCCTTTACTGTAAAGTAGTAAATATGACTTTGGAGCCAGGTAGAGCTGACTTTGAATCCCATTCCCAGCTGTGTGACCTGGGACAAGTGATTTTACTTCTCTGAATCTCAGTTTCATCTACAAAATGAGGCTGATGAATACAGTATATTGTATGTAATAGTTTTGTATACAGTAGTGTACAATAGTTTTAAGGATTCCTTGAGTATATGTTCACATGGTACATAGTTGATACCAAATAAAACATGCTTATTCTCTATTCATTTCTTGGTCTGTGACATATGACATCAGCTATTTTTCTAAGAGGAACCAAGCTTCTAGTTGCTTCCTCCCTTCTGCCTTTCTTGCTACTCTCTGTTCCTTCTTTTACAGGGTGGGGCTGGAAGAGAGGAGCTAGTTCTGGAAGCTGAGTGATGCTGTTGTGCCTTTTCATCTAGGTATGATGACTATGACTATGGGGAGGTGAACCAGCTCCTGGAGCGGAACCTCAAGGTCTATATCAAGACAGTGGCCTGCTACCCAGAGAAGACCACCCAGAGAATGTACAGACTCTTCTGGAGGCACTTCCGACACTCAGAGAAGGTACAGGGGCCGGGTGGAACTGGATAAGCCTGGCCAGTGGAGAGGGCAAGGGGTCAGGGCCCAATAAGGTACACCAGACTGGGTCTGTACTGCCAGCTAAGATACCTGGGTATATTGTACTGGGTTTAAGTACTACTCCACGAAGTGATTTCAGACTCCACTGATTCACCTATATGATGGGAATGTGCTTTGCAGGGTCCTCCATGGCAGCCAGGAGGATCTGAGGTGAAACCATAACCCGTCAGTAGCAGTATAACCTGGGGCAAGTCCCTCTGCCTCCCCAAGCTTTTTTATTTTGACAATGGGAATAAATACTACCTGCATTTCGATTGCTGGGAGGATGAAATGGGAAAATGAATGTAAATCTCCAACCCCAAACAGGTGCTCAGTGGTAGCTCTTAGTTTAGCTTTGGGGATAAAGAGATTAGTCTCAACAAAGATGAATTATGCTTGAAATTCCTGAGCAGTCCTGCCCCAAATCGCTCAGAGCCATAGGAAATAGAAGGATGAGATGAGTGGTCAGGGATGGTGGCAGTGTGGGAGGGATGGGGATGGCGAGGACTGACATCATTTACTGACAAGCCCTCCTCTGTGCCCCAGGTCCACGTGAACTTGCTGCTCCTGGAGGCCCGCATGCAAGCTGCCCTGCTCTATGCCCTCCGTGCCATCACCCGCTACATGACCTGACTCCCACACAGGACCCGGGCCCGGAGCAGCTAACTCTCGGGGCATCCTCTCTGCAGGAACTTTTCTGTCTGGAGACAGACCCAATCCCTTTCTGTCCCACGCCCACCCACCACACTCAGGGGGTGGGCTTTTGTGTGAGGTGCAGCCCCCAAGCCACACCCTACATTTTCTCACTGGAATGGACAGGATCTCTGGGATCTCAGCTTTGGCCCTGGGAGCTGGAAGAGGACTAGCAGATCCCCAGGGGCCATGCCCTCTTCCTGCCCCTGAACCCAGAGTCAGAAGGCACAGGAAGTAAAATGGGCTGAGTTCGGATTTATGTACCTCCAGGTGGGGCCCACCACAAGTACTGTGGCCTTCCTGGACTAGGAAGGTCCCCGGCTGGCCCCTGAGGGAGAGGGGCAAACACCTGCAGGGACTGACACTCCAAGCAGCTTTCCTTTTCCTCCATCATTCCCATTTCATTACCTCTCACCTGCCATTAACCCATCAATGTGAAAGTCGGGGTCACAGCTGGTCTGTGCATCCGGCTCCCCCAAAACCTGTTCAGTTGGGCAGCCTGAAGGCCCTTTGTTTCCTGATTGCCCCAATCCTATTTCATTTCCTTTGACCTCCTCTGACCTCCCCCCCTTTTCTCCCACACCTGGTGGTGTGAGGCCCCAGAAGAGAGACCAAGCACATCAAAAAAGTAGATGATCTCTAGAGAGTTTGAGTAGCTTTGTGGGTCACTTTGCCTTTTGAAGTGTAGGGAGTACTAGATTATAAATTCTCTGTATTTTGGTCCTTTATGGATAAAGTCCAAACCTCTCCAGGGCCTCACCTTTAGAGCCACAGTCAATGGCTGTGAGGAGGAGGACGGGGCAATCTTCTCCCCAGATCTTGCGCCTCTCCTGTCTCCTGAGCTCTGCTGCAGATATTTGCCAAAAACTTGAGCCTTTCTAGGTGGCACATGGCCCAGTGGGAGAGATGGGAGACCCCAGGGTTGTTTGGGCCCTGCCACTGGCTGGGTGACCATGGCTATGTTGCCAAACCTCCTTAACCCTGATTTCCTGGGTTTCAGACTAAAGGGAGGGGATACTTTTCATGCCTGAGTCTTCACTCTGGGTGTCTCAGGCCAACCTGCCAGCAGTGAACTGCAAATCGTGCAGGATTTTGAAGGCCTCCGGGGACTCCCACTCTTTCAGTCAGTCTCCTGGCTGCCTTCCAAGGACCACCCAGATTCTGTCCCCTCTCCTCAGTTTTAGGTGGATCACTTGGAGGCAGAAGCAGCCAAGGACTGACCCCAGGCACTTTCTATAGCAAACAAGCTGTGAATTACGACTTCCCTTGCCCTTCTTCCGGCAGTGCCTCCTCTCTGACCAGTTTGGAGGTGACTGAAGAAAGGCAAGGGCCAAGATGCTGCTTGCTTCTGACCCTCCTCCCTGGGGTGGGGCAGGAAAGGAGCCTGGTCAGTGTGCCACATTTCATACCCATGCAGGCATGGGGAAGCGACTGGCACCCTCAGACCTCATAGCCCTCCCTGCAGTGAAGCTGGGCAGGAGGGAAGAGGCCCCAGCCTGGGTTTAGAGTCGAGAGAGGACATGATGACTCTGTAAATGTTGTGTGGGTGGATAGGGAGAGGTATTCAGTGTTCAAGTGCACAAGTCTTTGGCTTTGTTACCAGTTCTGTATAATGAGAAATAAAAGTTCACCGAGGTTTTGTTTTGTACTGCTTGTTAATGGACTATTTTTCTATTTCCTAAAGGTCATGGTTCACCTCTTAGCAGGAAGCTGTGATTGCGTCATGGACTTGACCTGCTAGCCCCAACCCTACTGGGCACTTGTGGCCAGTGACTGCAGGATTGGGAGTGGTTGGCATTGAAACTTCTGTACCTTCGGTATCCAGTCCTTTCACCCATTTGTAGGGGGCCAGGCACTATGGAAATATAATGGGCATGTGTTTTTTTCACTAAGCCTGGCCCTTGACTGGGTACTTGGAGGCCATTTCTCTGAATATGCAAGGGAATTGGGACAGAGGTAAAGTGACATGGCTGAGACCACGTAGCTAGGAAGTGGTAAAGCTCGATTCCACCTGGGGTGTGCTTGACCCTAAGGCCCAGGCATTTAATCTTCCTATCTTCTCCACTATTAGGCTCCCCCTGTGGCAGAGGCAGGCTGTTTGAGAATCTCTGGGGGCTCCCCTTCTGTCCCCTGCCCTACCACATTATGCTTATCTGCTTCTCATCCTTCCTTCTCTGGCACCAAGGAGACAGAACTAGGCATAAGGAGTTAGATGTGACTCTCCCTAACCCTAGGTTATGCCAGTGCCATTTAGTAGCTTTATGACCTTGGTCAAGCTTTTGAACTCTGGACACCAGGAACTTCAGTAAGCTTAGGATAATCACATCATGACTAAGAGTTAAGCACTCTCCTGCTGTCTTCAAGACTTGCCTTCAAAAATGAAAATGGCCTCCTCCAGGAAGCCTTCCCTGACTGACTTCATGTCCCCTTTTCATTTTTGCAGTGTTCTCACATTTGTTCTTCCTTCTACAGTCATTTAAGAGGATGTGAAAGGGTAAATCAGATCTGAGTACAAAACTTGGATCTGGTGCTGACTCAGTCACTTATCCTGGGGCAAAGGGATGCAAGAGGAAACTGCCTCTCCCATGAAAACGGTCACAAAACGTTTTCATTTCCAGGAAGCACTATTGAGTGACTGTTGTCAGATGTATTCAGATTTAATCTCTTACTCTTCACAACAACCCTGGAAGAAAGGGTGGTGTTCCCATTTTATAGATGTAGAAAAGGAACTTCAAGGGAGAGTCTAGGGCAGGGGTGGGCAACCTTTTTGTGAGTGTGTGCCAAAACCAGCAAAATCTCTGACTCAAAATTCTTCTGCATGCCAACCCTAATTTTTTGAGAACATGTTACGCCTACTTGATATCTCTTAAGGTGTATGTATGAGAATAACCTTGTACGTATGTGAAGAACCTTGAAGAAATAATAAAATGCATTCAAGCGACAAAAACACAGTATATGATGATGAAAAATACATTTATTTTTTAATGTATACATGTACACTGATAGTCCGACAGAAAACTTTATGACTCCGTTTGATATCAGTGGGACTTTTGCTGCTGCATCACTGATGACAGAGATTTTACATCAGGTTTATATTTCGTGACCTTCAGAGATATGCACGAGCTACTACTTTCATCCGTCAGGCTACTCCTATTATGAGACTTAACAAAATTCATCACTGAGAACAAAGATTCACAAGCGTATGTGGATGAAAACATGGAGAGTGATGCTGTTGCAAAGTTTTTTAGACAGAAAAAATTTTCTGGAATGGCATTCCAAGTCCTCAATAGTTCGTTTTCGACACTTCTCTCTGGTACTCCTGTCTCATCGCTTTTTTTCAATGTTTCCCAAGTCAACTCTAAGGTCAATAAATCTCTGCTTCCAAATTGAGCTACTCTGAAATTCAATCAACTGCATTTCAAAGTCAGCCATGTCTATCCGTGAAAACATTTGTAAGTTTAGTTCCTCCAGTTTCATGCTGTCTGGAAACCTCATGAATTTTGCTGTCTCTTCCAGTTCTCTGAATTTCACAAATCTTGAGAAGAACTGCTCAATAGTTGACTCGATGATGTTTAAAAACAGCTTTTGAAGGCTTTGACAGTCTGTTCTGTCACCTTTTGGGAGGTCTTTAATGTGCCTCTTGAGGTTTGGGAAATATCTAAATCTCTCACCATCCACATCCCTCTTAAAGACTTCCAGTTTCTTTTCAAAAGCCTTTATGTAACCAAACATAACATCAAGTGTCTTGCCAGTTCCTTGTAATTTAAGTCATTCAAATGTTCACAAAAATTGTAAATGGAAGATTATAAGAGAGGGTTTTGCGTGCCAGCAAAAGTTACTGGCGTGCCATGTTTGGCACGCATGCCAGCGGTTGCCCACCCCTGGTCTAGGGAATACCAACTTAACAGACCGACCGGGGGTCAAGTTCCAACTTTGACAGGTAATGTCCGATCATTAAGCAAATTACTTAAATTCTTCTGCCTCAATTTCCTTATCTATGCAAAGGGATTAATACCTAGAGCCAGAGGAGGGTTGTGTGAATTAAATAATGTATACACGAAAAACAACACAGTTCAGGTACCTAGCACCCAGCACTAGTGAGCCATTTAGAATTCAGATATCTGCCCAACGTCACGTAATTGAAGTAGGATTTGAACCCTTGTCTGTCTGATTCCAGAGCATCACTTCTGTCCCCAAACTCCCTATGCCTTCAATCTGCATTTTAAAAAATCGTGTTCAAGTCCATTTGCATGTGGGATTGAAAACTCTTGGCCCAAGATTGGATCTAGTGAATCTGTTTCGGTCTTCTGCAGCCCGACATCCAAGATACCACATTTACCCAGGTTGGAGCCTGGAAGGTTGCTAGTGGCTTGGTGGTTTGTGTGGCCTTTGGAGCTAGGCTTGGACTGAGGACTGCTGAGAGTGAGTCTCCCCCAGCAGGTTTCACACATGCGTCAGAGCCCTAGGAAAAGTGGAATGAAGACCTGGAGTTCACAGACTTTTTGTGCTTCAGAATCTCTTAAAGGACCAGTGGTTGGAGGTAGAGCTCAGAAATTGGCGTCTTTAACAGCTTCCCTGGCGTGCTGATGCCCAGACCATGCTTTCATTCAACAGCTGTTGTGCGCATAATATGTAAATGCCCCGGACACAGAACAGTGCACAACACAGGCGTGGTTCCTGCTCCCTTGGCATTTACTGTCTAGTGCAGGAGACAGACATTAGATCATTACACAACTAATTGCGTAATTGTGATCTGCACCTCCAAGGAGAAATACAAGGTGCTTTACAACCTAACAGTAGAGCTTTTTCTCCCAATGAAATATGTTGGACTTTTGCAGAAATTAAAACACACCCAAGAAGAGCAGTTCCCCGCCCAATGAAGCACCTTGGAACCCAAGGGCTCCATGGAACAGTTGGAAAACTACATTCCTCTAATCATGGAGCTGTGGTGAGCATCCCAGACTGTCTCTCATTCCTTCCCCCGCCCCCACTCAACCAGGAAAAGCCTCAGGGGAGGCCCTCTCTGGGAACTGCCCTGAGTCCACGGAGCTGCCTAGCTCATGGTTATGCCCCTTCATGCAGTCTGCCTCCAATGACTGACTGGAGGGACAGTAGACAAAGGCCTGGCCCCTTTACCTCCATTGAAACAACTCTTGAGGGATTTTTCCCAGCTCTCGTGCTCCCTTCAGGATCAGCTGAGGCCAACATTGCAGCCCCATTTCTTCTGTCCAGCCCTGTTTCCCACTGTCCTGTGATACTGGCCCCCAATATACCCCCCGTATGCAAATTTCCATCTCAGAGTCTGCTTACCAAGGTACTTGACCTAAGATACTCTCTTATTACAGATGGTGAAAATAAAGACCAGAGAGGGGAAATGACTTGCTTGAGGTCACACCTGGACCTTCAGATCCTCTTCATAGTTTGTCACCACTCTGCGTCAGTCCTCCAACTTCCTGTCTTTACTTCTCTTCCTGAGGTTGGAGGCAACAGCTGCAATGCTGGAAAGACCATCCCCACGCTGATGACTGGAGACCTTGGGCAAGTCACTTCCCCTCTCTGGGGAGGTTAAAACACTGCCTGCCTGCTGCATGTTCTCTCAAGTCAGCCTGTGTGATGTCCCTGGCCCTGAGAAAAACCATGGCTCAGCTGGTGATAGCAGCAGAAATTCTTCCCCTTGTGTCTGAGTCACCTCGGACCTCACTGTTGGTTCCAGCTGGGGGGGCGGGGGAGGGGGGGGTCCTTGAGCTTCAGTCCCAATTCTGAGTAGCTAAACTCACATGTCAAGAAGGAACCCCTTTTCTTTGTTCATGTCAACATTACCGAGTGCCTGTTTTGTCCCAGACACTGCTAGATGCTGGCAGTACAGCACTGAGCGAGACACACATAGTCCTGGCCCTCATGGGCCTTAAAGTCCAGTGGAAAAGATGAACATCACACAAAAACTTGTGGTGAGTCCTGGGAGAATAAACAGCACAGGGAGCTACGGGAGATACAGCAGGGGAAACCCTACAGACGGAGTGAGAGTTCCCAGAGAAATACCCTGGACCTAAAAGATAAGAACGGATGGGAGGGAAGAGAGAAGCGTGGCACAAAGTCAAGCAGAGGAAACGGCCTGGGAGAAGATGTGAGGCAGGAGGAGAAGGCCTCATAGGGACAGAGGGAGCAGAGAGAACGTGAGAAAGGGGGAGGCTACGGAGGAAGCCCAAGGCAGATCTGGCATGGCCTTGCAGGGCCTGTTAAGAATTTTGGACTTTATCCTATGGGCAGTGAAAAGTCTTCAAAGGAAATTTTGTTGTTTATTACAAAACAGATGTTATGAACTGAATGTTCATGTCCCCCTCCAATTCATATGTTGTAACCCCAAGTCCCAGTGTGCTGGTGTTTGGAGATGGGGCCTGTGGGAGGTGACTAGGGCATGATCATGAAACCCTCATAATGGGAATAAGGCCCTTATAAGAAGAGAGAGGAGAGTTCTCCCTCCCTCTGGCTCCCTGCCAGGTGAGGACATAACCAAGACAAAGGCTCTTATCAGGAACCAAGTGGCTGACACCTTGATCTTGGACTTTGCAGTCTCCAGAACTGAGAGAAATAAATTTCTGTTGTTTAAGCTGCTCACTCCAAGGTATGTTTGTTATAGCAGCCCAAACT